CTTGCTCCCTTTCTGAGTCTGTCTTTCTGCTTGTTCTTCCCATGTACCTTTGAAACACTTTTTAACCCCGCAGTGGCAGATCATTCCGATAGCAGTTGCTAATTCCAGTTTCCACTTTTCCAAGGGTCACAGAACCAATCCCAGAGTCCCTCTTCAGTAACACCAGCACTAGCTGGCCAGAACACCGTTCTCAAAGGTCTGAGTGCCCGCTGCATGGGCAATGCCTCTGATGTCAGAAAAGAGACACCAGCCTAGCCAAGCAGTGAACTTTCACACAGGTCTATAGAGCACCTCCTTTAAACTTCTAAATTTTAATAATCTCAACTTCTTTACTTGGTTTCTCCAGTCCAAGAGGAGGCTGCTTCTCGAGGCTGCTCCCTCTACAATACATTAGCTTAGTGTTCCCCTTTTGCCTTTCCAGTTCTTCACTATCTAATCATTAGTTCTTTATCGACTGATTCTCTAATAGGCTAAATTTGTTCTTTTTTTAGGGGAGATTACAGGTTTTAAAAAATTTACCAAAAGGAGCTTCGACTATTTCTGCATCCTTATAATCATGTCCATTTCCTGTTTTTCTTTGATGTTCAGACACCATATTTTTTTCCATAACCTTAAAGGGTGAGATGTTTTTGTCTGCAACTCTTCACGCCCATCACCATAATATTTAAAACGATTTGAACAAAAAAAATCTCTGTGTTGGGATAGCAAACATATTTAATATTTTTTCAACCATTTCCTTTTATTTTATTAAGTTCAGTGTATACTCCTATATTACAAGTTTCTCCAGGCTCCAAGTTCATGTCTTTGAAATTAATACATGCCCAAGAGAACTGTGGTTAGCAAAAGAGGGGAGGCAGCATTAGGGGTGGAAAAAAGAGAAGGACAGTAATTTTTTTGAAAACAGAGGAACAGTAGGATAGCAATGATAACAAGGAAAGAACTAGAGGTGGTGGCAATAGTGAGCTGCCAGAGGAGATGAAACAGTCCCTGGTTATCTCTACAAGTAAATGGAAAAGGAGGGCTTTAAGGTTTGGCCTTGTGGTTTATGACACATGACACGATGACCCTTCCTGAATGTCCAGACTGACTGGACCGTTTAACTTGCGACAACCTTGAATTCATTTCAGGAAGATAGACTACTCAAGAAGGCTTAAAGATCTGCACTTAAAGACTAACTGAATGAATTCAAACGCAAAGCGGGAAACATCTTTCATATTCATTTTAAAAGCTTTCAAAAATGCTATTTAAAGCTAAAATGCAGAAGGAGTAAGATTACAGTCAGACAAATAGTGTGAAATATTTGGGGCAGGAATTGGGATGAAGTGAGGAGGAAGAGAAGGATTACAAGATTTGTTGCCTAAGGGGTGTCATTATGCCTGTGACATATTTCCCAAGAAATTTTTAATCTTGAAGTTTTCTACTTCTGTGCTTTCAAAAACCAGCCTAGATACAGTCTTAAAAGTGTGTGATTCAGGGGAAATGTGAGATATATCACTGATTACTTTGAGTTCCCAACTGTCTTATTTTTATAGCTATCTATAGCCATGTAGTTGACAATAAACTATTTCATAAATGTCAGCTACTTCTCACAAGTTTTAAATTGTTTGCTTTCTACCTGTGAAACACTGAGGGAAATTAATTTTTTTCTCTAAGTTAACCCTTAGGGGCAGCAATCAGAGAAACTCTGAGTTTTATAAAACTTCTTTCAAAGAATGTTTGACTTGAATGCAGTAACCTGCTTCCTAAACTGGAGCTTTGTAGAGCTTTATGAGTAGGTAAAATAACACAGTTTTTGTTTTAAATTTAAGATTAGCAGTAGACTAACCAATCCATCTTTTGCAGACCTGAAATAGAGTTCTAGGAACTCTAGTCCCTGTGTTCTATGTGGAGCACCTCCATCTCCATCTCTATTGGTGGCTCTTTTATCCCTCAATTGATGTAACTCCAACAGCGGGAAAATCCTGATGCTGAAAGCATCCATTTCTCATTCACTGAATGAGAATTCTCCCAGTCAGCCACCCGAGGTATCACTAAATTGAAGCATGCCCACTGTGATAAGCCAAAAGAGTCAAGAGCTGACCTAAATGGATGGAGGCAACCAGAAAAAACATATTGAAGAAGGTAAGTTTTGAATGAAACTTTCAAAATGAAAGTTTTGAATGAAAAAACATATTGAAGAAGGTAAGTTTTGAATGAAAGGAAAAGAATTAAATGATAGTAAGGGAGCAGAAAAGAATCTTATGAATGGAAGCAAATTACATAGTTTTGTTTCATACGAATTGAGTAGAAAAATGATTATAAGAATGTTTCAGTAAATGTGACATCATCTAGAAAGACAAAATATAGAATAGTGGTTATTTCTGGCTATTTTGATAAATTTTCATTTATTTATTCAGCAAATATTTTTGAGCACCTACCATTGTCATTTGTCTTTTATTTTAGTACTCAGCTGTGGAATGTATATGTATATATAGATTTATAAGATGTAATACATCTTTAAATGAATATTCTGAGTCTGAAGTTGCTTATCCTCTTTTCCCTCTTTTTTGTAGATTGCTATGATTTCCATACCTTATCTCATTTAGTCTTTTCCACAACCCTGTTAGGTTGAATGTTATGCCTATTTTACATGCGGAAACTGAGGCTCAGAGGTATTTAGTGATAGACCCAAGCTTGCACATCTAGAAACGGAACCCAGATCTGTTTGACTCCCAAAGTGCTCTTTTTTAAAAAAATTAATTTATTTATTTTTGGCTCTGTTGGGTCTTCCTTTCTGTGTGAGGGCTTTCTCTAGTTGCGGCGAGCTGGGGCCACTCTTCATCGGGGTGCGCGGGCCTCTCACTATCAAGGCCTCTCTTGATGTGGAGCACAGGCTCCAGACGCGCAGGCTCAGTAGTTGTGGCTCATGGGCCCAGCTGCTCCGCGGCATGTGGGATCTTCCCAGACCAGGGCTCGAACCCGTGTCCCCTGCATTGGCAGGCAGATTCTCAACCACTGCGCCATCAGGGAAGCCCCCAAAGTACTCTTAACTGCTATACCAGCTGCCTGCCTGATTTGAGGAAAGTGATAGTGGGCCACTGCCAGCAAGTTTACTTGAATAGATAATCTATGGAACACAGTAGTGAAAAAAGAAGATTTAAAATGAGTATTTAAGTAAGGCATAAAACTACCATTACTGAACTCAAAAGGGACAAAATGAAAACAGTGACTGCAAAGGAGGATTGATAGACATATACAGATGTATATTTAGAGATAGGAATTGGAAGCAACCAGAAGTGTTTTTTAAAGTCATGCTAGAAATAGTCATAGCATGACATAGGGAGCAGGATTATGTTCATGGATACTTGAAGAGAGATTCAACTGAAGTTGGGAAGGTGGATGTGAGGAGAGAAGGTGATGGAAAAGTTAAAAACGATCCCCAAGTTGGCAGGCTTAGGAAGCCAAGATGGTAAATATATTGTATCTGATGAAAAATCTGGAATGGAGTGGTTATTTTAGGTGTGGTGAAAGATGAATTTGATATTCAAAATTCATATAATCAGGAACTGCATTGTGTATTTAAAGTAAAATTCCATGGCATCTTCTCCAGCTTTTATCCACCCCAAATTCAAACTTTTTTTTGGCCTCTCACCACTGTGGCTTCTCCCGTTGTGGAGCACAGGCTCCAGACGCGCAGGCCCAGCGGCCACAGCTCACGGGCCTAGCCGCTCCGTGGCATGTGGGACCCTCCCAGACCAGGGCACGAACCCACGTCCCCTGCATCGGCAGGCGGACTCCCAACCACTGTGCCACCAGGGAAGCCCTTGGGCCACCAGGGAAGCCCTCAAACTTTTAATCCCCCACCATAGCAAAAAGATCAAAACGCTTTATAGGAAAAAATAATTTGGAAAGTCTGGGTTATAAAGCCATACGAACTTGGCGTTGATAATAATGGATTTTGTTAGATCACAGATCTTCTATTTCTAGCAGCCCTATGCAAAGATTGTGAAGACTGGATTTTTTTTTTTCCACCCACAATTGGTACATAAGCTTGTTAGGTATCAAGAGTCCTCCCTCCCTCCCTCCTTCCTTCCTTCCTTCCTTCCTCCTTCCCTCCTTCTTGTTTTGGTTGTAGGTAAAATTCACAGGACATGTACTTGTGTCACTGTGGCTCCTCAAGATATTGACTAATGATTTTAGTTATATAACTGACTCTGATTAATAGAATATATATTAATTCTGGGTATATTTTATAGATTTGTCTCTTTAACTGATCCTAATAAATACGTCCCTTTGGGTCCCATCCTGTTTATTCAGAGAATAATTTGTTCTGGATTTATATTCAATAAATAAATCACCAAAGTGTCCCAGGACATACTAGACACCACTAATCTATAGGAAGATCTGCACCAGTTGAGTCTTATTCAGGTAAATATTTCCTTATTAATTCAATACAAACCAACTTCTCAAAATTATATATACATATTTTTTGGTAAATGTGTGTCCATGTTTCCATCATTAACTTACAAAACTTTATTCCAGTTTAAAATGTTAACATACTTCTCCCTTTAAAAAAAATAAAGTTGTCAGAATTTTTCTCCTAATTTACTCATTTCTTCTCTTGAAAGAAAAATTAATAATCTCTATGCTCTAAGGTCTATATTTATCTCCTTGAACATTTTTCCACTTCCTTACCAAACAAGAAAAACAATAAAGAGATAAACTAAAGAAATGGAAAGAGAGAGAAAAGAACAACTATAGGCACCAAAGTCTGATCTGATTCATAATAATAGAATGGAAATGATTTTTACAAACTTATGGCATTACATATGAGGACTGCATCTTTCAGAGTCTGAGTTATCAATAGAAAATATAAATTTGTTCAACATTTTCTAGTAAATATTTCATACCGTTTTTCTGTAAATTTTACGGCTTGTCACAGATATACACTTCCTATATGATGATTCTGTAAAAGGAAGACATTACCCAGAGTTACACTATTGCTGTCACTTCATACTTACAGCAACTGCCTCCAGGATTTGTTTGACAGCATCTGCAGCATCTCGTTCACTGTAATATCCCTTTTCCACAATCCTAAAAAAAAACCATGAAATCCTTCTCAGACACATGCATCCAGTTGAGTAGATGTTAAAAGAAGTTAAATTAATGTTAAAGAAGATTTATCTAAACAATTGCAGCAGGCTACCATGACACGAGGGGAAAGATTTCCATAAGTTGGCACTCTAGAAGTCTTTAGGTTTATTTAGGAAAATGGAAAACATTTATTTTGCCTAGGCTTGAAGTTTCCATCCTATTGAGGACAAAAAATTCTTTTTAAACGTTGTATTGCAAATCATTTAAAACATATACCAAGTAGACAATATACCATGAACCATCCCATTTAACTGTCACACTGCTTCAGCAATTATCAGTTCATGGCCAATGTTGTTTTATCTATCTAATTAATTACTTCCCTTCCTCCTTTATTATTTTAAAGCAAATATCAGACATCATATAATTTCATTTATAGATATTTAAGGAGGTATCTCTAAAAATAAAGGACCTTTTAAAAATCATAACTACAATGCCGTTATGTCCATAAATTACAATTCCTTAATATTATCAAATATGCAGTGTTTCAACTTTCTAATTGTATTAAACATGTTAAAATTTGTTTGTTTGTTTTTTTGAATCAATATCCAAATAAGGTTCATGCATTTGATGGGTTGATATGTCTCTTACTCTCTTTTTACCTGTAGCTCCTCTCTCCCATTCCCTCACTCACTCTCTCTCATCTGCTTTTCTTTTCCAAATAAATGACTTGCTCTTTTTGTATAGATTTGGGCAAGAAATTATTCTTTGAAATTAAAGTCTTTCCTTTTTTAATTTCAAGAATTTTCCTGAGTTAGAATGTTTCATATTTATTTTCTTCCATTGCTTTGGTTTTCTTCTTTGGGGTATGCAATTACACACATATAAGAGATTTTCTACTTTATGGACCCAAATAAACAAAATAAGAAATGAAAGAAGAGAAATAACAACAAATACCACAGAGATACAAAAAAAAATCATAAGAGAATACCGTGAACAGTTAAATGCCAACAAATTTGACAACCTAGAAGAGACAGAAAATTTTCTAGAAACATACAACCTGTCAAGACTAAATCAGGAAGAAACAGACAATCTGAACAGACTGATCAGTAATATTGAAATTGAATTTGTAATAAAAAAAAAAACAAACTCCCAGCAAACATAAGTCCAGGAGCAGACAGCTTCATAGGGGAATTCTAGCAAACATATAAAAGAGAATTAATATCTATCCTTCTCAGACTATTCCAAAAAATTTAAGAGGAGGGAAAACTCCAAAATTTATTCTCTGAGGCCACCATTACCCTGATACCAAAACGCCAAAGACAATACAAAAAAAAGAAAATTATGGGCCAATATCTCTGATGAATATAGATGCAAAAATCCTCAATGAAATATTAGCAAACCAAATTCAACAATATATAATAAAGGATCATACACTATGATCAAGTGGGATTTATTCCAAGGATGCAAGGACAGTTCAATATTTGCATATCAATCAATGTGATGCACCACATTAACAAAAGGAAGGATAAAAATCACATGATCATCTCAATAGATTCAGAAAAAGCATTTGACAAAATTCAACATCCATTCATGATAAAAACTCTCATCAAACTGGGTACAGAAGGAACATATCTCAAAATAATAAAGGCCATTTAAGACAAACCCATATAAAAAAAAAAAAAAGACAAACCCATAGCTAACAACATACTCAACAGTGAAAAGCTAAGAGCCTTTCCTCTAAAGTCAGGAACAAGACAAGGATGTCCATGCTCTCCACTTCTATTTAACACAGTATTGAAAGTCTTAGCCACAGAAATCCAACAAGAAAAAGAAGTAAAATCATCCAAATTGGGAGGGAAGAGGTAAAACTGTAACTATCTGCAGATGACATGATACTATAATATAGAAAATCCTAAAGTCTCTACAAAAAAACTATAAGAACTAATAAATGAATTCAGGCAAATTGCAAGATGCAAGATTAATATACAGAAATCTATTGCTTTTCAATACACTAATAATGAACTACCAGAAAGAGAAAGGAAGAAAATAATCCTGTTTAAAATTGTGTCAAAAAGAATAAAATGCCTAGGAATAAACTTAACCAAGGAAGTGAAAGACCTATACTTTGAAAACTATAAAACACTGATGAAGGAAATTGAAGGTGATACAAAGAAATGAAAAGATATCCCATGTTCTTGGATTGGAAGAATCAATATTGTTAAAATTTCCATACTACCCAAAGCAATCTACAGATTTAATGCAATCCCTATCAAACCACCCATGACATTTTCCACAGAACTAGAATAAATAATCCTAAAATTTCTATGGAACCATAAAAAACCCCAAGTTTCGAAAACAATCTTGGGAAAAAAGAACAAAGCTGGAGGTATCACGGTCCCTGCCTTCAGACTATACTACAAAGCTACAGTAATCAAAACAGCATGGAACTGGTACAAAAACAGATACATAGATCAGTGGAATAGAATAGAGAGCCCAGAAATAAACCTACACACTTATAGTCAATTAATATATGACAAAAGAGGCAAGAGTATACAATGGAGAAAAGACAGTCCCTTCAATAAGTGGTACTGGGAAAACTGTACAGCTACTTGTATAAGAATGAGATTAGAACATTTCTTCATGCCATATACAAAAATAAACTCAAAATGGATTAAAGGCGTAAATGTAAGACCTGAAACCATAAAACTCCTAGAAGAGATTGTAAGCAGAATACTCTTTGACATAAATCATAGCAATATTTTATCAGATCTGTCTCCTAAGCAAAAGAAGTAAAAGCAAAAGTAAGCAAATGGGACCTAATTAAATTTAAAAGTTTTTGCATTGCAAAGGAAACCACTGACAAAATGAAAAGACAACCTACTGAATGGGAGAAAATATCTGTAAATGATATGAACAATAAGGAATTAATATCTAACATATGTAAAGAGCTCATACAAGTCAATATCAGAAAAACAAGCAAGCTGATTAAAAAATGGGCAGAAGACCAGAATAGACATTTACCCAAAGAAAACCTACAGATGGCCAACAGGCACATATAAAGATGCTTAACATCACTGATCATCAGAGAAATGCAAATCAGAATCACAGTGAAATATCACTTCACACCTTACAGAATGGTTATCATAAAAAACCCCACAAATATCAAATGTTGGCAAGGATGTGGGAAAAAGGGAACTCTTGTGCACTGTTGGTGGGAATGTAAATTGGTGCAACCATACTGGAAAACAGTATAAAGGTTCTTCAAAAAACTGAAAATAGAACTACCATATGATCCAGCAATTTCACTCCTGGGTATATATCCAAAGAAAATGAAAACACTAATTCAAAAAGTTACATGCACCCCAATGTTCACAGCAGAATTATTTACAAGGGCCAAGATATGGAAGGAAACTAAGTGCCCATCAACAGATGAATGGATAAAGATGTGGTATATATACATAATGGAATATTACTCAGCCATTTTCATTCACAATTCGATTTTATCATCCATTCAAATGACTAAGCCAATCCAAATTTAAATGACAGACGCTTTAATTGGGCTTTAGTAGCTGAAGCTGCTGAGACACTATACACTTCAAGCTTCTGATGACTTTTAAAATGCCTCCAGTGTACACATGTATATAGGATACTTTTATAACCTCCCTGATGAAAACCTAATATTGAAGTAGCAGCTGAACCCAGAGCCAGCACTTAGTGGTAGAGGCTGCAGGTCTCTCCTCTACACCTTCTTTTGCACTTGGGAAGCACAGCAACATCTGGGTAGAGTTCTAGCTTTGACTTCTGTCTCCTCATCTCTTGGGGTCCATTCCTTAGCATGCTAACTTTTTTTTCTTGTTTTGTTTGTATCTTGTTTTTTTGTTTGTGTTGGGCTTTTGTTTTCCCTTTGTGTGTGTGTGGTTTGCAATGATGTACTTGCCTAAACTTTGAATTGCACTTTTTAATAAATATTTGTAACAATTAAAAAAAAATGAATGAAATTCTGCCATTTGCAACAATGTGAATGGACCTAGAGAGAATTATGCTTTGTGAAATAAGTCAGACAGAGAAAGACAAATACTCTATGCTACCACTTATATGTGAAATCTAAAAAATAAAACAAACTAATATATATAACAAAACAGAAACAGATTCACAAAGAGAACAAACAAGTGGTTACCAGTGGGGAGAGGGGAGAAGGGAGGGGTATGATAAGGGTGAGGGATTAAGACACAAACTACTATGTATAAAACAGATAAGCAACAAGGATATATTGAACAGCACAGGTAAGTATAGCCATTGTTTTGTAATAACTTTAAGTGGAGTATAATCTATAAAAATATTTAATCACTATGTTGTACACCTGAAACTAATATTGTAAAACAAGCATACTTTAATTAAAGTTTTTCTACTTTTGATTTACATTGTTCTTTTTGCTATGATTTTCTTAATTTTAGTTTATTTTGCAATATTAAGTTATAATTTCATCTATTTTGTGGGCATATCCTCCCGACATGCTTTCACTGCCTAAGGGGACCCTATTCTACTCCTTATTTTCTGTCCTCTTATAATCATTTTGTATTGTAATTAACTGAGCCACATCTCAGTTAAATTTGTTTTCTTAACCTTTTGACAGAGTGGTAGGTCAGGATATCTATTCTAGTTTCATGGCTCTTGACTTTCTGGTTACTTTCATGAAGCATTCAAAAATTGGAAGCATACTTTCTGAGATCTCTTCTCTATCTGGAACATCATTCCCTTTCCTCTACCATCTCTACTCTGATTACTAAAGTCTCTCTCCAGAAGTTTCTCCTAAACACAGTTTTTTTTCCCCCCAAAGAGGCTTTAGATATTAATTTCATGAGTTCACAGGGCCTTCACTGCATTAGTCTCTTCAAACCTTACTGTGGGTATAGCCCTCGCACTTCTCGAAAATTTGCATACCAAAAAGCCGTCAGCTGGGCTTCCCTGGTGGCGCAGTGGTTGAGAGTCCGCCTGCCGAT